TAATAATATACATGATCCTTTTTTAGACATGGCTTTCCATTTACTATCTCTAAACAAAATGACTTGTTACTGCATGCATTGATGATACTCATCCCAGATTTAGATGCAGGGCATTTTACCTCCACAGCTCCATACATTGATTCTTCTCTCTTGTCCAATATGAGAGCATCTGGACTAGCACCAAGCCATGGCCACATTGGATTGACTACTAAACCACAGGCTGAACAAAGAGCTACATGCTCGTTGATTTCATCTTTATATTCATGGTACTTTATCAACGCCTTCTGTTCGTTCTCGATTCCCCATTGACAACTTGCATTCTTTATTTGACTTGGCTAAGTAATCTTGTTCACAATAGTTTTTGGGTAGATTGTTTTTCTCCTCTTCACTACACAACCAAATAATGATGAAGTCAACCGACATTTTCTCTGTTTATACCACTCTTCACACTCATTTTGCTTGCGCGTGTTCTTCTCAATCTCTCTGCATCCCTCATTATTAACAAACAATTTCTCCATAATATATTTTTCACAATTTTTTTCCTTGTCTGGAACACAAGTACAATCTAAATTCTGAGTTAAATTTTTTAGAATACTAGATCTGACAGCTGTTTGGTCCAGTTTGTCACCCACTTCCCTGCCTTCATTATGCACTGTCTAGATGGTAATTCATTTGCAGTAAACTCACAAGGTTCACAATTGGTGTTGCCTAGGATACCAACCAAATAACAAGTGCTTCCTGCTTTTTCCAAGCTAGTTTTAAGCCGTTCCAAGTCATCCTTTGACACCTTCTTCCTTGTTGAGCAGTAGTCCTCCCTCTTCCCTTCTGGTATTGGCGTTTACGTCCTTTTTTGTCCTTATCATACGAATCCTGGGGGAAAATGAGGTCCTCGAAAAGCAGGGCTGCTTGTGTTGTGTTCTTTCTAGAGACATGCCACTTTTGTAATTCCTGGGTGCAGCTTTTATCATCTGGTATATCTGAGAGTCCAAGTTCAATATAATCGAGAAGCTGATACAAAGTAGCTGCCACATGTTTACAACAGCCACCAGCGCCAGCAGGGCAGTAGCATTTTGCATAGGCAATATCTCCTGAATGTTGATGAAGGTGGACATAAACAAGGTACTGATTTTTCTTCATTTCTGCATTTACATGGCACCGTAGAAGAAAATGAACTGCTTCATTTCCTTTCTTTACATTGGGTTTCACCATAATCTGCGTTGGATAACCAGCTTTAAATAGTTTGTATCCACTTTTCTTGTGCTTCAATGCCTCAGCAGGCTTGCCATCAGGTGTTTTTTTTTCTTCTAGTACCAAATGGTCCTTCAATTTTTAGTACGAAAATCCAGGAATAAACTTTAAACTCTTTGTCCAACCATCCCCCAATGCTGCCAAATCTTTATTTGCCTCCCATGAAGTACCCGGCTCAATATCCATCAAAAAATTTATATTATTTAAACCTACACCTTAATTATTTATTTTACTATTTACAAATTTAATCCTTAGGGCCTGCCTGAAGATTAAAATACCTAAATTTACTATAACTAAATTTTAAAAATTGACTATTTTATATTCTACTACCTTAAATGCAAATTTAAAACGGTTTTTCCTACGTTAATATAACTACGAATTTAATATATTTTAAGCCTAATATTTTAATACTAAAAACCTACTTGTTTATTTTGACAGGAAATAAACCGACCACAACAAAGGAAGCAGAAAAATAGGCGACAACAGAGGCAAAATGATTTCTCTTTGGCGTTTTTACAAAGTAACGGAGCTGGGGCAGAAAAAAACGGTTTGAACTGCTTTTAGTTCGCGCCAAAACATTTTAAGGTCTCTTTAAAACATTGTGTTTGAGCGCCATGCTGTTCGAACGATCGACAGACATTTTGTCATGAATTAGTCGATTTCAACAAGCGAAAAAATCGGCAAGAAACACTCGATCGTTGTCAAAATACGATATATACATCAAGAAACAACGCACACAAATTTGTAGGTTAAAATGGTGAGCTAACCGATGTTTACTAAGCGCGCTCACCTTAAAACGTTGGGAAGGCCCTTCCTCTTGGAACGTATTTATGAGCACACTGCTCGCTCCTCAGTTCTTCTACAGGAATTTTCTCGTCCATTTTCGGTTCGATTTCGCTGTACTTGAGTCAAAACAAACTTTATAGCATTACAAAGTTCTCCCTTGTTTTAAAACTTTCAAACGTTACGAAAAAAGTGTTAAAAATAAACTATATTTCTCACATGCAAAATGCTCGCTCCACGGCGGCCATTTCGCACGCAAGTGAAGGTTACCATTTTTCCCATGATGCTTTGGTAACATGCAAGTTGCCTATTAAATCCTTTTCACGACAGCAACAAGCCTTTCTCACGCCGCCATTTTTGGGGTACTTTTTGGCCAATTCTGCGAGCGTAATACCACGTAATGGCGACATTTTATAATTTTATGGGGGTATTATGGTAACTTTATTTGTAAATAGTTTGTTCTGAAGTTGCTTTTCACATTGTTATAATCGTTTACGAAAAATTAGATTGCCCCAAAAATGGAGGCGTGAGAAAGGCTAATTACCTTGAATTTTTGATCATGGTCTGATCGAATTAAATAGTATCTTATCCAGTTCTGCGTCGTGCATACGGACCTAAAAATGATGGCGCTTTTTCTTGCCCATAGATTCGTTGTTCAGAAGATAAATATTGATCGATGTTCAACGATTTATTAATGGTAAATTTAGATTTTCTGTTTACCTCCATTTAGCTGCTTTGAGCATGATAAGGAAAGCTATACTTTGTGCAACTACCTTTAATTAATCGTAAGAAACCATGTTCAACAATTGCAATTTGTTTCCGATATCGAGTGATTCACAAGCAAAAATATTTTTGGTCAATTAAATATCCTTTCATCAGAGGTTAAATGTATTTTAATATTATTTGAAATATCGAAACAATTTTGCGTGAAAAGAGCTTTGTAATATCACAATTTCCAAAAACCCCACGTTTTCTAAAAATTATTTTAAATAAAAAGGTTTCAAAACCTAATCGGTTATAACAACATACACGCGTATACTGCTATTGTGAAGAAAGCCAGCAATTTGTTATCAACTTTATATCAATTACCTAGACCTATGATCAACGGGACTGAAATAAACAAGAGGTAATATAGATTTTGATCACTTTCACTTGATTTTGTATTTTCATCGTAGCCAGAATTCGAATTCCCTCCATTGTTCGCTTCTGTTATGAAATAAGAAGAAAAAGGTGTTAGAGATGCGGTACAGTCCGTATGTAAACAAAGGTTTTGGCTTTACTTACATTTTGGTATGCAAAATATTCGACAACTATTTATATTTTCATGATGCTAGAGTATAATAAATTATTACAGTAAGAAACAACAATCAAGCTTTGCAAGAACATAAAATGAAATAAAAACCTAAATAAACAGTTTGTAAATAAAATGAGGGCTCCTTTGTGCACATGCGCAGATCGGACTGTACCGCATCTTTAAATTACTGGTAGGTTTTGGCAATAATGTTTTTCACTAACTTCATTGCGTGACTAGTGAAGCTACCGGATAACAACGTCAACAAGCACCAAAAGTTGTACTCACTACCTAAACAATGCAAACAGATTCAACGTTTCAAGCAAAAGCCCGTCGTACCAAAACTAAAATGTCTGCCTGCAGGTTGCGGTTACCATCGTTGGCAGTGACTGCACGACGACGCTCACCGAACCAGTATAGTGGCATGGCATTTTTTGCATAAAATTTCAAGCCCACTGGTGGCAGCGATACGATAGTCACGAAAGCCAGGAAATGCGTATAACTTTCAGACTTGGATCAGTACAACCACTTCGTATAGCGAGCGTTTTCTTTCATTTAGTGTAATTTGCCTTTGCCCCAACTACGTAGGCTATAAACAGTTTTAGGCTATGTTTACATTATATCGGATCACTTTGCGTTCGACGCAAAAACCATACCGAATAAGGCTTCTGTTTACATATGAAATGTTGTTATCGTCTCAATTTCTGCAACGGACCGGTGGTGCGGCGGTTCGCTCTTCGAAGTGGTGCGCTGTGTATCGGATCAGTTTTTGCAACGCTCTCATTGCAATGTAAACACCAATCGGAGCAATTTTCGGTTCAATGCGTGAGTCAAGATGGCATCAGGGGAAACAAAGACTTGCTACTCTAATCTTATTTGCTGGTATAGCTTGCTCACTTATTTTTGTATGTAGTTGGGCAAGGGCGGAAGCTGTTTACACTTGAGCCGTAACGTTTCGTGAACGGAGCAAAAACCGATCCGATACAATGTAAACATAGCCTTAATCCTGCCTTCGTGTTTATTGTGCATTGTGCATGCATTCTCACATAGCGCCTTGTATTTAAAAATAGAGCACGATTTGCTTTTTTTTACTTGTTCTCAACAAATCCATCTGATTGAGGGTTTTTATTTTGTCACGAGTTGTTTTTAATATATTTACGTGTACCCAAGCCAACGGCGCGGAGCGCCGTTCCGGGCGTGAGCCCCGGCCCGAGGGTACTTCTTCCGCCCGGCTATTTACACTCGAGCTTAATTTGTTGTTGTTGTTGCTTTAATTTATTAAGTAAAAATGCACTGCTTTCCTTTTCAATGAAGCTGTATTAAAGTTTGGTAAATTACCCTTTACGTTTAATTTAACGAGAGCAAATTAATTTGGAAACCGATGTGAAATTACTGAACAATTTGAACTTATTTTGTTTCATTAAGTAAAAATAGTTTATCGGAGGAAGCAGTTTATACTTTGATATAATTATTAAAATGAACATTTTAATACATTTTACCTAGCGATTCAGGTTAAATTTTACATTAAATCAAAGCTCACAAAATGCAGAACAACATGCTGTACCTACAGTACACATTTCGTAAATTCATTGTTATATAGTTAAAAGCAATAATCTTTCAACTATTTTTGCCGTGTTGTGCAAAAAATATAATAAAATTAAATTTAAATATATTGAAATTTAACGTGTTGGCATGGTAACACTGAGTAAACGCGGGCCAATCACTGAGCTATAATATTACTGGAGGAGGTGCTCCTATCTCTCGTCAGTCAAAAAAGTGTCCACGAAAACATGGCGGATTTTCACGTTTGCTGACGCCATATGGTTCCTCCGGCTCATGGCAATTACCACTGACCAACCGCGATCCTAAGCATCCGACAAAGACCTTCGCCCCCCTGTTTTTGCACAAATATTTTATGTTTTCAAGACAAATTCATGCCGTTTTTCTCCACTTGTGGATGCAAAAATTCGCTGTAAAGACTTTAAAAGGAAGAATATTTCTTCCGAAAGGTAAGATTTGTGAAAATTTTAAGTTTTTACCTTTTATTCGACAAATTTTCGATTGGCAAAGTCAGGGGCCGATATGCGTATAAAATCGAGGTATAAATATGTATTTGTCAAACACTTATATTTTATATTTACACCAATATTTCTGGAGCAGACATAAAAAACGTTGTAGATGGTTATTTATACATTGTGTACATACATTTTCTTTCTAGTTTCGGGCACTGGCTTTTGTTTTTAGTGCCAGTTTATTAGTTTAAACAACATGCTGCTCATGCAATCTGTAGTTTGCTTTGTTTCATAAAGAGCATTTAGCACTAGATTTATATACAGTATAAACAAGCTGTATTGTATCCTTCACAAATATTATAAACTGCTAGTCTTGCTAGGTTTTGTATCAGCATTTACCAATTGGCTGTAATTTAGGCTTTTTTTGTGGGGTTGTGCACTACATTTCAGTTCAGCATCGAGCTATCATCGACTTGTGCATACCCAAATTTGCATGATTTATACTTGTATCATTCTTGCATTGGCATTACCTTGAATGCTAGTATGGGTCAACCTGACAACCTCTATGCCTCATAAAAACCTCCAAACAAAAACCTCCTTCACTCAGAAAATACCTCTGTCATGGGAGTCTTGATTTATGTTTAGCCATATTTATTTAGGTCCCTTAGAGGTTAACCCATTGAGTCACATTGCACCCTACTTTATTATTTTACTCTGTCTGATGCCAGATGATTTTACTCATCAAGTAGAGAGTGCTGGTGCTTAATGGGTTAATAACTAGCCTATGTGTCTAGTTATGAGTCGCATTGCACCCTGATGCGCCCTTTACTCTGTCTAACGCAAGATTAATTTACTCTGTCTAACACCAGATAATTTTACTCATCAAT